TGATAAAATTGCACCTACGTGGGAGTATAATTTTGAAAAACATCAAAATCGACAAGAAAATCGAAAGTCAGATCCGTAAGGTCAGCCAAACCTTCGATCGACTAAGCTATTCCTCCTAAAACAGTCGTTGTATTTTACCCAACTCAAAACTGAAATATTTACAAGGCCGCCACCTTAACGTTCTTCTACGAACGGGTAACGTGAACGTGAAAGCCGAAAAAGAACGCTCTACCATTTATCCCAGTTTCCTCTGGCTAATGGCCAAAGCTTAGTGACAAAGAAGGATCCCCACCGCTGAGCTTCTGGAAAGAACCGCTTTCCTCTGTATTCACACTGATGAGACAGCTGTTATTACAATGAGGTAATCACCTTGCGCCTTTACAAGGCTGTCTTAAAGCGGTTTCTTAATCAATTTAAAGTGCACTTCAAGATATTGAAAACCCTCGTCCACAACCTTTGTCGAGGGAAAAAGAGAAGTTTGAAGACCCCAATTCCGCGGACGAACGATGCATGCATCTGATGTCTACCACCGCGTCCACACTCTCAGCCAATATTCCTTGCACAGATGGGTCTTTGTGGACATCTCCAGACGCAGTGCACTATCAGTACAACAATCTCGCCTCTTCTCACACGAAAGACCGTTAATAGCATCCCCCAATGAGGACATTTCTGTCATCCTCTATCACAACCATCATCGCGCCGTCCACGCACAATCTAGACTCCGATCTAGTCTGTTTCCACTTCGACGAAATAAAGACTGAGGCTAGCACTGGGGAATTCGTCCTCACGTCAAGTCAATATATTTTTCACTGGAATAGATCGAACATTCACTGCAGTCTATCACGATGCGCTATCAGTCGTGGCTTGGAAGGGTGCCAACTGACGGTCCTTCACCAAGCTAACAGTCATGCTGCAATAGCTCCTCAATTTGGCGTCAAGGACATTCTTGTCTATGTAAATTCTCGACCGTCTTCATCGTAGCCTGACACTTTTAAGCAGAGGCGTGGTCGTGTGTAGCATGCGTGAACGGGCCGTTTAATTCTGTCAGCCACTGCGTTCA